TTACCTAGTTTGACTTGCATTTAAAGAAGTGGGCCCCTTTGAATCTGTCCATTGTAAAAGAAAGGAAATGATGTGCATAACCATCTTAACTTTCCTGAAGCTCATGTAGAAATTTGTTCATTCTTTCAGTTTATGCTAACTACTGGAGATGACCAAGTACCTGCTTTTAACATCCACTTGATTTCATTACTAATGGTATCTTTAGTGTAGCATGCATGGCTGTTGCTCTGAGGGACTTGCATCATCTGTTACTATGTAATGCTGTGTTCTTTTTTGTCCTACCCAGACACCCACATTCTCCTGCAAATACGTTATCAAACTGTATCAGCAATTGACTAAGTTCCTATTGCTATTTTAAGTTTTTAGATTGTCAGCACAAGCGTCGGTCAGTGACCGACCTCAGATGCTCTGACAACTATATGTGTACAGTGATGCCAATTATGTAGCTGGTCAGCATAATTTATGCTTCTGTCATTGGACTGATGACTATTTTAGAAATGCAGGCTACATTTTGAAAAGAAAATTGACAATTTCCTTAATCAAAGTTTGTGACAAATGCTTTTTGTCATTGAACGATAGTGCCAATGCTGAAACATAACTCTCTATGAACATCAAGCTAGTGTTGCAATTTATCAGAACAAAGATCATATTCATATGTGGAAGTGGTAGTTTCACTTAAAGTGAGTAATATACAGTAAGGATCAATAAAGCCATGACTGCACCATTGTCCACTCAAAACCAGAAACTCAACTTCACATCCATGTACGATCATGGGCATGTGCTATGTAATGCCCTGTTTTTAGTTGACTAACCTAGCTAGCATTTCTTTTTGTATAAGCATACTGCTGCATGCCTCTTGTGATTTCTCAGACCTAACTAGTTTAAACTGTTGGAGCAGTTTAGTCATTGCCTGTTGTCAACCCTCATGTATGTTGGCTGCGACACCAACCTGAATGGGGCCTGTATCCACCTATACTGTTAAACAAAAAAGTATGACTAATCATGAACCCTGTCACTTGCTAAGCCAAAGTTTAAATAGACTCTACCCCTCACACACTAAGCCTGTTGTGGAGGGCTTCTCCAACCATACTTGTGAGACAATTATAGCACCTTGGTCTCAGAAATCCTGTTTTCCCATTGATATCCTCTTGAATGCTGCAAATGAGTCTGCTACAATTTACAACCATTATACAGTGATTGTGAAAAGAAGAACCTGGTACTAAACTACTTCCCTTTGGTTAAAATGTTGGCCATGTTCTTGAAATGCTATCCTCCTCCTCCATGTAATATCTGACTGCCTGTGTCATTATAAACACAAAATCTTATGGTGAAATCCACAGAATGCAGCCATGAGTTGGAATACACTTCATCACCACATTGTAAAACGACTTCAGCCAACAGACTTCTCCTTGAAGCATTGTCTAATCACTTTGCTGATCTGGAAAGTTTCTGATCACTCTAAGGTTTGTCATTCTCTGGACATTATCCTGGTCTTTCCATCTTCTGTTGCTTCAGTTATTGCTGATGGATTTTGTTCACTACGTTCATCTCCACCCTTAGACCAGAGGCAGTTCTAGCTAGTTTTGGACAACACTTGGGCTAATAAGTGTATATACCAGAGTTCCAGCTAGACTACCACTCCTAATTTTGGGAAGGATATGAATGCTGATTAAAATAATAAGTCTCAACAGATGAGGATATGATTGTAGAATAACCCCTGTAGTGTGTAACCTACCCAAGGTAGTAATTAATATAAGATAAGGCTGACTAAATTATGTTTAATGATGGCTGCATAACAATTTTGAAAATTTACCAGAGTAGATCTAAATAAAGATATATTCTTTTTCTAGTTATAGAAGGGAAAGCTCTGGCAAGTCTAACTTTCACAACATTAATGTACTACAGATCTTTAAATTGATGCTAGGATTAGTAGTGTTTCCTTCTTTAGGTTGATGATCATCTTAGATTTTCTGTTTGCTATTTACCTTACCTAATAAGTCTGAAGATAAGATAAGATAAACCATATGTATAACAGAAGATTTGGAATGTACATGAGGGGTTAGTTTGTTGAACATTTAATATTTAGTCTACCCATAGAACTTTTTATAGTTTATACAAGCAGTGTCTCGCATAGATCTAATTTGACACTGAAAAGAGTCCTATCATACAAATTTGTAAACTTATGAAATTCATGAGACTTATGGCTCAATTTGTAAAAAAAATTATCTTGTATATTATACATTTTAAAGATAAAAACAGCACATTTATATCCTACTTTAATTTGATAGAAGTTTCTTTATTTGTTTTCTTAACTCCTCCTAGGCTTTTGCATTTGGACCTATCAAATATAGTTTAATCAACTAGAAATGATTTGAGATGTATCAAGAATAATTTGTTTTTCTTTTAAAACACATAGATTTCATAGCTCCAGTGATGGCTAAATATAGATCAGTCAGTGGGGGTGGCCACTAGGGGTACTGGTGGGATTTCTCCAGTTTCCTCTTTCTCTACATGAGGTATAACATATTTTGGTATAACATGGAACCTATTGGTCCATCTCGGCTGTTCCATCCTCAAAACTAAATTAAAATGATTTAAAGAAAAATAAAATAAAAATTTTTTGTAACCCGGCCCTTTTCATTCATATACTTTTCAAGATTTTTCTTTAACTCAATTAAATTTACTGTCTCTACAACATCTGAATGCAACCCATTCCAAAGGCCAACTACCCTGTTAGAAAAATAAAACTGTCTTAGCTGAATATGACTCCTACCTTGCCAAAATGTATATTTGTGTCTCCTAGTCCTACTATTCTCATTGTTAAATATAAAAGAAGATGATACATCTACACTACCAATTCCTTTTACAATTTTAAACACCTCAATTAGATCCCCCTAACTCTTCTTTTTTTCAAGAGAAAAACAATTTGAGAGATTTCAGCCTCTCATCATATAACAATCCCTCTATCTCAGGCACCTGTAACCCTTCTCTGAATCCTTTCCAACAATTCAATGTCCTTCCTAAGGTAAGGAGCCCAAGACAACACAATATTCCAAATGTGGCCTAACCAGTGACCTGTACAATGAAAGTATATCCTCTTTAGATTTGTATTCAATATTTCTATAGATACAACCTAAAATCCTATTTGCCCTACCACTAGCAACAGTACACTTCCTGGATGGCTTTAGAGACTGATTGGCTGTTACACCAAGATCCCCTTCCTTCATAAAACTATTAAGGTTATTCCCATCCAAATTATACTTATACTTCAAATTATAATAACCCACATGCATTATCTTGCATTTATTATAATTAAAACCCATCTGCCATTTATTTGCCCAACACACTAAATGATCTAAATACTTTTGTAAATCAGCAGCATCCTCTTCACAGCTAGCAACACCCAAGACCTTAATATCATCTGCAAATTTAAGTAATTTATTGACTATCCATTCATCAATGTCATTGATGTAAATCAAAAAGAGCAAAAGTCCTATGACTGAGCCCTGAGGTACCCCACTTGTGATGTTAATCCAGTTTGACTGAACTCCATATGTAACAACCCTCTGCTTTCTTCCATCCAGCCACTCTTCTATCCAATTTGTTAACTTATCCCCCATACCTATAGAGCTAATTTTTTTACAAGCCTTTTATGTGGCACCTTGTCAAATCCAGATACACCAAATCTACACCCTCACCCTCATCTACACAAGCAGTAACCTTTTCAAAGAATGTTAAAAGATTTGTAAG